ACACAACAAGTCACTTTGCATTCAGGCGCTGCCTTTACAAAATGTGTGGCTTAATAAAAGCTTGCTTCAGTCTGCAACTATATCTGGTTGATACTCAGGCACTTCTAGGTTTCAAGCGCACGCCATTGCGCCAAATTCGGTGGACAGCGGCCCACTTCTGTCTGCACAGAAAAGAACCCAGCCCGCTGGAAGTAAGAGCTATCTTGTTGTAGACGGAGTTTTCCTGCCAAAGAATTTTTCAGAAGGTTGTTACATTATGGAAGAAGTTTAAGTGCGCCCTTTGGAGATTGTGGATTTACATTCCATGCCGTCTTTACGTCTATTTGCAATGGCAAACAAACAAGTGCAAGATAAAAAGTTTTTCTTACATTTCATGGCGTTACATTCTAGGAACATTCCAAAGTTGGAATAAGCCAAATGTTTCCTGCATCTACTGGATTTGGTTGCTTTTGCATTCAATCCATTGGGGCGCGGCTCATCTTTCCAGTTTTTGTTCTCACAGCAGGCTGTTTCTAAAACTTGCCCGACCGGCAGTGAATTCAGGCCTGCGGGCCCCCACTAGATAATGTTGGCATAAAATGGTTCTAGGTTTGTTTTTTTTTTGGACTGACGCCTCTTTACTACATCAGTAGCGCAGTAGGCCGGTCTCGTTGGGCTCGACATAACAGGTGAAACGAAGTCAGCGCGCTCAAACCACCAAACACACCACGCAACCACCCAAAAACCAAAGAAACAGAAGAAACAAAGCAAGCAAAGGCGCTGAACTACTAGGTAACCCCACGCACTCAGTACTCGAAGTCGTCGTTGAAGTCCCGGTGCAATCATACAGCACAGAGCATGCGGGGAATCGCAAATTGCGACACTGCCAGATTCTCAAAACCACCATCATGTAGCTACTGGTGCGACATCATTCGAATCGAACCGAGGTCATCACTCGATGGTCAGGATCACGTACCCATCGTCAAGGACAGATAACAGACCCGCAGTGGCAAAGGGATGTTACAGGTCAGACTCCCCAAAGGAGAGGAAAGACGTGCGTATGCCCCATGGTGGTCAGCCAGTGGGGACTTAACAGCAAGAACTATCAAGGCAAGACCGGCCCAGGGCACTCCATGGTGGTCAGCCAGTGGAGCAGCCCCGAGCGAAAGGTCCTCCGCTCACCCTGGCTTGCAGCTGCACCCACCTGGATAGATGCACAAGCAAAGTCTCATCAGACGGCCAGAGGGGAGGCCAAGCCTTCACTGCGTGAGTAGCTACAGCTACCGATTCCACCGTGAGCGTCATCAGCACGTTGCCAAACCCTTAAAACCACAGAGTTTAAAGTGACGACCGAAGACCCCCAGTCAAGACATCGCACACAAGGCCACACAGCTTTTGCGTTGGCCTGCGCATCAGTCTGCATCAGGTCCCTCCAAACCCTAACCCACGAGGTACGTCGGTAAGGAGATGGGAGGGCTCACATCACGTTTGCGTGCCGAAGCGCAAGGATCTCCATGGTAAAACTGCTTTGATCCAATCAGAGCCATCAGGTTACAGCCAAGCAAGCGGCGAAACAGCTGTGCCGCCGCAGGCCAAGCACAGACGAGGATGACCCTCTTGAAGGCCAGGTTAGTGCACAGGTGCTCAATGGCTCCCTGCCATGGCAGTGGGTGTATATTCTCCACATAGAAGTGCCCACAGTCTGGAAGAAAGCACCGCAGTATTGGTCTTTCCAGAGTCGGCACTCAGCCGAGATATTACAGAAGGGCGGGTCACATTGCCGTGACAGCACGTGAATCACGTGTCGTCTCGTCCAGCGATGAGCAGCGGGGCAACCAGGGTTGGCGGTTGTTGGGTCTCAAGGCCGAAGGGTTCACGTAAGGCCATAGCACAGAAATGGAGCAACCGACCCGGCTGACGGGGGCAGAGGAGAGGAAGACTGGGCAGTCTTACCTTGGACATAACACGATGAACAATCAAGGCCAGACCAGCCCAGAGTACTCCATGGAGGTCAGCCAGTGGAGCAGCCCCGAGCGAGAGGCTCTCCGCTCCATTAGGCTCACCGCAGCGCCCACCCAGAAGGGTGTCCCCGTCCCGACAAGTTGCATCAACCAGCCAGAAGGGAGGTCAATGCGCATCAGTAGCGACCGATTCCACTGGGGGAAACACCAGTCCTTGCACATAGCGGAGCAGTGGACCTCAGGGTTTGCCAATGTTGCACGAATCCTTCCTTCCGCAAGGCAAGAGGAGACGGCAGGGTCAACAACAAGGGCCGAGGGCTCAAGCGCCTTGAAGTTGTACACCTCACCACATTCGCCGAGGCAGGTTGGGGCGCCATGGAAACTTCCTATTACAAGCGTCCGTGCGCCCCATGGTGGTCAGCCACTGGGGACTTACAAGTGAGCACTGCAGACCAGCCCAGGGCTCCCCATGGTGGTCAGCCAGTGGGGCCCGCGAGCCGCAGCCAAGAGCAGCAGGCTCCCTGGAGGCTCCCAGGACGGAAGCCATTGAGTAGCGACAG